CTGCAGTGAGCGGTATGGGCCCAGTTGGGTTCTACTTTATAGTATGCTCTTTTTACCCAATGGGGTTTAGGCCTAAAGTCAGACTTGAGTTCATGTAGAGGCATGTGTCAGCTGTGATAACTATTGGAGAGACTTAGACTAATTAAGATCACTGACAGATCATTTGGGGAGGGGTGAGGCACGGAGGGCAATCGGGGATGACAGGGACAATGTGGGAGGAGGATGGGTCATAACAGAGGGAGGGGGATGGGGAATCTAGGATGGTAAAACAAAAGGCAAGGTATGCAGGACACAAGAATTGGGAAATTATTTGCTGAGAACATATATGTTGACGTGCTTGATTGAGCCAACGCACAGTATATATTGGATGGAAAATTCATTTGAGTGTTGCGATGGGAAAAAAAAAATTATAATAAAAAAAAAACTAAAAAAAAAAAAGAGAAGAGGATAGAGAAAGATAGCAAGTGAACAATAGAGGGGATGTTAGTGAGAAACAGATATGGTTTATTATCTGTTGAAGATGACGTGTATAGTATTCTCAACTGGACTGGTCTGGGAAGTATTTCATGATGGGTGAAGTCTTTTAACAAGCAAAATGAGAAATAGTGATTGACTGTTTTAAAAAATTATAATAATAATAATTATTGGGAAATGCATGGAAAAGACTTTGAATGATAAAGCGGGGAGATCGATGCCTCTGTATTGACTGACATGCATGGCATTCCCTTTTGAAAAAGCAATGGAAGTCAATGTAAAGTTATATGTAATCCAATGTAATAAAAAAAATAAAAAAAAAAAGAAACACATGCATTTATTAACTGAATAGAATACAGCTAAAAATAAACGTATATTTGGTTTCAAAAAAAAAAAGAATATTACATAAAAACTAGACCAATATCCTTCATGAACACAGATATATAGAAATCCTTAATACGATATAAGCAAAAAAAAAAGGTCAGCGATATATCAAAATGAATAAATCTTGACCAACTAGTTTATCCCAGGAATATGCAGTTTACTATCTGAAAATCAAAGTAATTCACCATATTGGTTGTCTTAAAAAACAACACACACACCATTTGATGATATCAGTAAATGATGAAAAGACATTTGACAAATCTGACATTCATGATACAAAGTCTCAGCTGACCGAGAATTAAAAGGAACTTCAACCTGAGAAAAGGTATTGACAGAAAGATCTACAGTTTGAACCAGCAGATGGCATAGTGGTTACACTGCTAGACTCCCACATGGCCGAACACAGTTCAAGTCCTGGATCTGGTGGCTTAAAACACACTGGTCGTGTGTGGGTGCGTGACCAAGATTCCAGGAGGAGAATGGAGAAGGGATTATGGCATGGCCATCCCTCCTGGAAGGTGATATCTCACTTTCCCTCTCACTCTCTGTCTCTTTCTCTCTCTTTGGCAAGATACATACCCTAAGGCAAAAACTTCTACCCCCCCCCCAAACAAA